CCCAGACCTGCGCGAGTGATTAGATAGTCGGTGGGCGTACCCCGCCAACCGCGCCAAGAGTGAGCCATGCTAGATCGCCGAGGTCAAATCTTTCGCTGCCAATTGCGCGTCGTCAGCACCCTCAGGAGGTCCGCCTGTCTCCCAACTAGCAATTTTCCCCTTCTTCGACCTTCGTTCTTATCGTGAATTCCTCCTTTAATGTGCCATAACTTCGCCAATCCCGGAAAGCGGTGGTTTTGCATGAGGAGAAACCCATTAAACTCTTACCTCTCCCGCTGCTTAACCGGCACTTACGATGGAAAAGCAAAGTATGTACTAACCGATTTCGTCTCATCTTTTGCACTACTTTGAGGAACATCTATTCCAATTTCAACAAATTCCGCATCTGAGCGAAGCTCATCCCTTTTTCGACGCAAGCCACATGGATAGCATCCGCATTACGCTGAAAAAAAACGGTATAAGAACTGGACCTTGCCACAATTGCACAATGTCGGCGCAATCTCCACCAATACAACTAAGTACTATCAATTTGCCAATGCGATGGAATATTACTTTTCCAGTCAACTTCTCTTTCAGCGCAGAAGCGGCAGCATTGGGAGCCAGGGCTATGCACCGCTCTAAGTCCTCGACGGCTGAAGATTTCAGGCCCATTTTCTCCAGAGCACAAGCTCTCCTAAATAAAACGGCTAAGCTAACTTGCGCTAATTCATGGTACAACCTAAATGTTCTACCGATACAATGCTTTAGCAAACTTGGGATCGAGCTCCAGAGCGCGATTGCAGTCCATGAGCGCCTCAGGCCATTGTTCCAGATTGAGATAGGACTGAGCACGATTTCCTGAAAGCTATGTGCATTAAATGGTATCTCGCTCATTTTAGATCTGATCAGAGAGCTGAGTCATTTTATCTCGTTAAAGGAAGCGATTACGATAAAGAGGGAGCGCATCGGGGAAGCATATGCACCACACGAATCAGTTACTTGGCTGCCAGGGAAGCGAGATGTGGCGCTTTCACGACGAAAGGTGCGCTGGTTGCTGAGCAGGACTTCGAAAGCACTCCGCCCCCAAAAGCGATCCGCCCACTAGTTTACTTGGTGATTTGGACGAGCTGCGTGACCAGCAGCGGCGCAAATGGAGCATCTCGATTAAGCGTGGTTTGGCATGGTGCCACCAAACGCGTTGCGGTGAACTCGTTCATACGTCCGCTTTCTGAGCTGTTACCTGTTCATGAGTGAAAACCAACGGCCAAAAAGGGGGTCCCGTTTTGCGTTTTCTTGACGGATTTTTCTGCTTTTTTCGCCATTGAATACCACCACGTCACACTAAGCGCTTGAATTTATCGTAATCCCTGCCTTTAAGATTGGAATACGTCCACTCACAGTACATATAGGAACGTAACAAAGGATTTCGCACTGCACAGAGGATTTTTTCTTACGGAAAACAATAAAAAGGGGAGAGGTCAGGCATGCAACCCGGGAATGGGGCTCAGTGATTGAGGGAAACCAATGAATCCTACCTCCGTATGACGTTCTGAACAGAAAACTTCACGTACTTCAATGTATACAGCAGTCAGTGCTGCCAAGTAAGTCTTTGGAAGCCTTCAGAGCAGGGTTGGCCGTCGCGTTCGTACATTCTAGAAGTTTTGCGACCCTCTCCCCTTTAGAAAAGTGTCACCGAGACCCCCTCTCCCAAACCACCGTCAGTCTTAGGAGTCTCAAGAGGCTCCCCCAATACGACACCTCTCCTCCCTACCTCAATCATCGCCCTAATCATAACGGCTGTTTCAATAATAACATAATGGCTATGCGGTAAACACACTAATTTATCTACCTTAACCCTACATTCATGAAACTTTCGAGGAACTCGTCCAGTCAAACAGAACCCTTTTCACGACCCCCGTTCACACTTTTCCCAAGGTTGTTGATCTTGCTCTGTACTAAGATGCAAACCTCGTTCGAATAGTGCGAGCGGGCAGTTAACCTGCTTCAGAGACCCGAAGGGAAGGTAAATACGTGACCCTCTACAGACTTTGACCAACAGCGGGCTTTTCATCCCTCTATGCTTCAACCTGTACTAGTACTCAGACTTTTTTAATAGAATTATCGAAATCCCACCAAAAACAGGAGCAGAAAGTTCCTTCTGTAGACTCTGCGAATAAAGTTCGATGGCTTTGTGATAACGCTTTTCACGAAAACATATGTTTCCCTCTTCTTTCAAACGGATGGCTTCCAGAGACATCTCGCTAAACTGGATAACAGAAAAATTAAACTTTGAAACCAGCTTTGCTTTGTGTTTGCGCCATGATATCATGTAAGGTGAACACCTGTGATACCTCTGAACACAAAGCAGAAGAAATTCATAATTTTA